GCATAGTCATTTATAACGTGGCTTTATAATTAATATTGATAAACAAAACCAGAAGCATTAGGTTTGCGCTGACGCTAGCAATTTTGTTAATTTTCATACACACACTACTTCCGGTGTTTAATATAAGACTTTGTTTGATTTTTATTTTGGTCCTAAATATAAGACCCCAATTCATTTTGTCTTTCATATTTATACTTTTTTTTCAAGATAGTCCTTCTAACAATGGTAGTTATAGTTAATACACTTAATAAGCAAGGATATGTTAAGAAAGACAACACATATTTATTACAAATAACTAACTTAGCTTCTTTCCTTAATCTTCTCAAATTAGTCGACTAGCTCTTATGATTATGACCGGAGCTAGTATATATTATGTTAATTGCATTATAACACATGCATTAAGGAGAATTTTTTTTTTTTATTAAAATACTCTTCCAGTCCTAAATATAGAACCTATTTTGTAGTGTAATTACACTAGAAAATGGATCCTATATTTAGGATAGGAGGAGTAACAAATACATCATTGGGAAAAATTCAAAAATAATTCTTGTTATTTTCTCTTTGTTGTACAGTACACCAAATACAATACTATTTATTTTCATGAATAAGTAAAATTTAGATCGATGGGAAGTAATGAAAACGTCAATTGTGATGGGCCATTGGGGGCTCCGATGCAAACTTAATGTGGCCCTACTCGTGTCAACCTATGAAGCCCACCTAACATAGAGGAGTAGAATCAATATATGATAGCTGTGATACTGTGACAACAACAGGAAGGGCAACCAACAACATTAGGTCTAATAAAATAAGCTACTATCTCGTAACATAGTGAAAGGATATGAATCTTCAAGAAACAAAGCGTCCACATTTAATACTTAGTAGGGCTAACTGTTTTTAATAGAAAAATACCTATACATAGCGAAAAAAAAAACAAAAAGGGTAGTCTTTTACAAAATAACAAACTGATGTTCAAGTTTTTTTTGTGAGATGAGCTCACATTCAATGTATAACAATGTCTCGAAAAATATTGTCTCTAATACTAGGTTTAGATTTTTACTAAAAGAGGTATTTACATTTAATACCTAGCATTGCTTCCAATAAAAAGTTATCTATAGTCATAAAAAAATTATAGATTTAATAATAACAATAGCCTCAATTTTTTTGCTAAAGTATATTATTTTTCAGCCTAGCTTCCATTATTTTTAAAATTAAAGCATGAATAGAGGAAAAATATTCCACGCTTTACCCTTAGTTGTATCATGCTTTCCAGCTTTGCTTTCATTATTAAATTGAAGAATGGATGCAAAGAAAAAAAAATCCTCCACCAATTCTATTTAGAAGGAGAGAGAATGTCTTCTTGTTTGTATTTATAAATCACGTTATTAAACTTTTAACATTTTTGTATAATTTTGCCCCTTCATTTATTATTGTATTTATTATGGTATAGATTGTTATACTCATGAAAAGCATACTAAAGATTAAATAGGGGTAAAACTAAAAATTTATTAAACTTTATGACAAAGTTAATGAGATTTATTTATTTTTTTAATTTTGATGAAGTATATTGGAAGTGGCTTATAAATAGGAAAAAATGATTTCACATTGTTACATTTACAAATGGTTAAAAATTTTTTTTATTGAAAATAATTTCAAATGAACTTTCAACAGTTTTAAGTAGGATGTATTGTTCTGACTTTCCTTACAATATAGACGCTGGTTTTATTTTGCCATCAAAATACACGTTAGTTACTCATGCAACTATTTTTTTTCCTTCCCACATGAATATGAGCATTTTGATCAATTAATTTTTAAGAAAATCAGACAACGACTAAAGTGTTATTTTCCTATTTTAAAATAGCAAAGTAATTATATATATATGGAAGAACGTGAATTGCAGGCCAAAAAAAGAAAAATGCTTTGGCTCTTGGGATCGTGTGTCACATGGGGAAAGCGGATATTTTAGTTCCAACTAACGATGGAGATTTCACGTGTTACCTAAAACACACTTTAAATTATGCAATATGCTAAACAAAAAAAAGACACATTTGATTAGGGTTAAGATGCATTCAAAATATTTTCTTAGATGTATTCAGTGCCATTAAGTATTTTGTGATGTATTTAACACCTAAAAATATTTTTTTAAATACGTCCAATATCGTAAAATATTTTTTTGTGTATCTAATACCTCAAAATATTTATTTAGGTACGTCTAACACGTTAAAATATTTTTTTTTACCTTAGTGCTGGGTGCACCAAAAAATATTTTTTTGGCACTGGATGCACTTAAAAAATATTTCAGGGTGCTACATGTACAACAAAATGCTTTAAGATATTGGATATACTTGAGAAAATGCTTTGAAATGTTAGATTCAAATTAACCGGTTTGATTATCACAAAAAAAAAGACATATTTGATTCGTGATCGATATTTAAATTCACTAATTTAATGTCAACAACCACATACTCATGGTTTTTTATGCTTCTCTCGTCTTCATCGGCTTCAACCACTTTAATAGAAGCGAGGAAAAATAGTACTCCTCCGATCCTTAATATAAGATCCATTTAATTAATTTGATTAGATTAAGGAAGTTAAGTAAGTTGGTTAATTATAAGAAATGTGACATGTGTTTCCTAAAACACCATAATCATCTTTCTTAATACCTATCTTCTTCTTCCACTTGATTATAGTTGAAAGAGTATCCATAGGGGTAATTTAGAGAAAATTGATAAATATGATAAATGGGTCTTATATTTAGGACCAAAATCAACTCAACAATTGGGTCTTATATTAAAGACCGGAGGAGTACAATTTATTTAAAAATAATATTTTTAAAATTTACTTATATTTAAAACCATGAATTACTCCTCTAATTCTAAGGTGGAGAGAAAAGATCTTTTTGAGTCTTATTTATAAGTCGCATCATTAAATTTTTAATATGAATGTACTATTTTATTATTAATTTATTATAGTGTAGATCTTTATTCTTTTAGAGTATATATATACTCCTCTGGTCCTTAATATAGGACCCAATTATTGAATTGGTTTTGGTCCTAAATATAAGACCCATTTCTCAAATTTATCAATTTTCTCTAAATTACCCTTATAGATACTCCTTCAATCATAATCAAGTAGAAGAGAAAGAGGGGTATTAGGAAAGATGATTATGGTATTTTAGGAAAAACGTGTCACATTTCTTATAATTAACTAATTTACCTAACTTCCTTAATCTAATCAAATTAGTTAAATGGATCTTATATTAAGGACTGGAAGAGTATTAAATATGGTTAAAATTGAAATATGAGCACACCAATGTTTGAATTTTGATTGGAAAAAATGTCTACATTTAATACTCGATAATATCTTAAACAGAATCATCTCAAATATAAGAATGTTTGTATTTAGCAAAAAAGAAAAAGAACATGCATCATGCTTAGATTGGGTAAAACAGGAGGATAAATTAAAGTAGAATTCCAATGCTCACATTTTCTTTAAAATTTCAATGTAATTTTTTTAATTGAAAAAAAAAAGAGAGATAAGAATTGGAAGAAAATTACTAAATTAAATTTAAATAAAAAGATAAAAATTTAAATTTTATTTCCCGTTCCCTCTCATTAGTTCAAACAAGATACCATATGATTGTAATATGCATCATGAAGAACCATGAATTTCAATTAATGATTACATTTCCTTAGCACATTTATATTAAAGAGTTTGAAGAACTGTATGAGAACGAGTCAAAAACAAAACGTGGATCAAGATTGAGATAAGTCCATGTTTATATCTGTAGCGAACTGTGGGCTTACCAACACTATCTTTTGGGCTTTCCTGATGGCCTATTCCTTTGGTTTCTCTCCTGTTTTTGGACCATCTCTCTCTTAGTTTATCCCATCACAGATCATCCTTTTATTTTTTATTTTGATTAGGATAACAAATCATCCTCCGTAGTCTATCTGATCCGAAATACGAGTTAGATAACTTAAGCTAATGCTAATGCATTGGTCTTCTTAGTTTAGTTTTACTCTTGCTTCAAGCTGTGTCTGCCTACGTAATTAAAAAAAAAGTCTTACTTTTCATGTAACTTACTAATCACATTTCTTATTTTTAAACCTATTTGGGAAAATCATTTTGCAGGCATCTATACTTTTTTTTTAATTTTTAATTTGGTATCTATATGTTTTGCCTCTTAATCAAATCTTTTAATTTTGTTCTGTTAGATGGGCTAATGGTACTAACAGAACAGAGTTACAAAAACTAACTACGCTAATAAAGATATATGATTAAATTATATGAGGCAGTTTTGTTGTTTGTTTTTTTTTAAGGGATTATGGTAGAAAAGTTGACAGACTGCATATGAGATTTTCATCTCATACACCTCCCTCTTCTGTCACATATGAGAATTAGGACAAATTCAATCACGATTTCATGTTTCAATTGAACGTTTTCCTTTTTTTAATTATACTCCTCTGATCTTTAATATAACATCTACTTAACTAATTTAATTAGATTAAAAAAATTAAGTTAGGTAAGTTAGTTAAGCATAAAAAATATTACATGTGTTTTTTAAAATATTATAATCATCTTTCTTAGTATCTTTTCTCCTTTTTTTATTTGATTATGACTGAAAAAGTATCCATAGGGGTAATTTAGAAAAAATTAATAAATTTAAAAAATATGTCTTATATTTAGGACCAAAATCAACTCAACAATTAAGTTCTATATTAAAGACAGGAGGAGTACTATTTTTTTTACAAAACGTATGTAGACCCAATCACAATCCACTATCTGCTATTCTAATAAAGAACAAGAAATCTTTTATTCAGGTAACAAAAATAAGTTCAAGAAGTTTAAGAAAAAGCATAATTTACATGTAATTCTTAAATATCAAGACTAATATATATGCACAGTAAAGAACTATTAAAACCATGGGGAATTGGAAAGCAAGATGCAAGCAACTTAGTATTACTATTCCTAGCTGCAGCTATCTCTGCTCAGCACCCTCTGCAATCTCCTTTTGGATAACATCATCAGGCAAATCAAAGGTCCTTCTTTTAACGGAGGTTGATCTTCTTCTCACCTGGCTGCGGATCCACCACATCCAACATCGCTTCCAGCTCATCTACCATCGACCTCTTCGTGGATCGCACAAAAAAGTCGGCTCCCTGTAAAAATATGAATGCATAAACCCATTGTGATATTCACAAGTTATAAACAGTGTAACTCCTATATCATGAAATTATTTGTCGGGCTTTGCGCCCCTTTTTGGTTTATATATATTCCTTTAACCTTTTTTCCATGCTTCTCAACCCAGTCTAAATATTACAAAATGGGTATTGCCTTCAAGTATCTTTTACTTTAATCTTGCATTACTACATTTTTTTTAAAAACTTATTAGTTCTCTTTTGCATTACATGGTAAAAAGTTTCTAGTACTTTCACACAAGTTTGTAAAGATCATGACAAATTTGGCTCCAAATACAGGGTACTCTCCTGATCCCAAATGTAAGAGCTATTAGAGAAGATTGTTTTAATCTTAAATGTAATATCTCAATTCATTGTATCTCTATAATTTCCCCCCTAAACTCTCTCTGTTGATTGCACAAGTTAAGAGAGTAGTTTCCAATGTAAAAAAATTAAAAAAGATACGCTAAGAAAATCAACACAGTTTTTAACACATAACTAAATTAATTTTCTTAACACGTAGCAATTCTATAAAGAACTTGATTGATAATGCAAAGAGAGATGCTGAGAGAGTGAGGAACATGTTACCTCAATGGAATCAACAGTGAGAAGCAAGACAATGATTTTCTCTGCAAACTTCTGGCGTTCCTCTGCATCACGAGCTATCCGATGCTGGTAGGCAAAATTATTAAATAGAACCCTGATTTCCTTCAACCTAGATTTTGCAACAGCCAGTCCTCTAAGTGCGCGAAGAACTTTTGACCTTCGGATCAAATAAGCCCTAAAGCTGCGTTGGATCAATAATGCAGCATCTTGAGGAGATAATTCTTTCCTCTTGCCCCTGTTACTTTGAACAGCTCCATATCTCTTCGCATGTCCCATATTCAGCAAGGAAATTAAATAGAAAATCTCAGATTGCTAGATTATTTGAAACAATAACAGCCTTTATTTGTTAAAATCTGCATTCCATTCATATTCAAGAGAAGTGAAAAGTAGCTAACATTAAATGCACTGAAAGCTAGCATATATAAAATAGAGGCCAAATTATGTAAAACTGCTCTTAATCTTATGTCATATGTAAATAACCTCTTTAACATTTGAAACTTTACAATAAACCTTCTTGAACTTTCATATCGATGCAGATAACTTCCATGCTATTGGCTTTGTTCATTATTTATTTGCAAATGCCTTAAAGTTCATATAATCATTAAGTTTGAGCGGATTACATGCTTACAAAGATAAAGTTTAAGGGTATAAAATTAATTAGTTTAGAGTTATCTGCATAGATTTGTAAGTTCAAGGAGGCTTACTAATTTAAAAGTAAGGGGGCTATTTGTACATGATTCTAAATTTAGGGAAGTTTTAAATGCACAGAAAGCTCTTAAAGATGGGTTTATGTGAAATATGACAGCATCTAGTGGAATATTATACTATCTGAGGTCCTTAATATAAGAGCTAATTAACTAATTTGAGTATATTAGGAAAGTCTGTTAAGTTAATTATTTGTTGTAAATAGGTGTTGTTGTCCCTAGAATACCCTTGCTAATTATGTATATTAATTAGAATTATTATTTGATGAAACTTTTGACATGTGCAACTATTACAAAGATTATTTTGAAAAAAAATGGATAAACATGAAAGACAAAATGGATAATAATCTTATATTTAGAACTAAATTAAATATTAAACTAATTTTTATATTAAGGACCGGAGGCAGTATGCACTGAAAGCACAGATGTCTTCAGTTCCTAGTTAGAGTTTAGGCATATAATTTAGAAGATACGTAATTAATAATCATCTCGCTTCTGCTCCTCCCACACTACAGAGGCTACTTGGGACAACCAGAAGTAAGGACATATCGTCATGATTCATTAGCAGTCTAGGCAGATTGAACAACTATTGAAAATGTTGTGCATTCAAGTCATAACAGATTAATCGGTAAAACCCATGTTTGATTAAACTCACCTGCCTGACTCGTCAGAGAGAAGCCTGGTCCTGCAGGATAGAAGGACGCAAAGGATCCAAGTTCTTACAGAAGTTAGAAATCAAAATTCTGAGTCTTATTTTATACATATGGCAAACATACACAATCGCATTGAATTTCTTGAAGATTATTAGGAAGACACTAGGACCTTAGCATCATATCAGCTGTTAGACTATAAATTGATTAAATTCTACAGTGCTGACCAACCCACCCACAGAGACGAAGATGCAAGCAAGCAATGAAGCAACGAGATAGAAGCTACAAATACACGTCATACTACCATAATAAACCATATCGTATTTAAACAATCGAAATTTCCAAAATAGCTATTCACTGCCATCCTCGTTCCTCCAAGATTTAATTATTAGGAACCAAACCCCACCATCAATTAATTATTCAATTCTAAATTAAAAAAGTTCAAGTTATCATACCTGCTTTCGAATCACATTTTTATTCCCACTGGGCTCTTCAATCTCCACAATGCGCAATTCACTTCTTTTCTTCTTATCCTTCTTATTCCTGCCATTCTTCTCAGCATCACCACTCTTTACCTCGTACGTATATTTCCTTGAACTCCCAGTATCTTCCCCCTTCTCCTTAATCTCGGCCGTCCATTTGAAATTCTTCGCAATACCCCTTTTCTCCTTTTCATTCATTGTCTTCTTCTCTTCCTTGAATTCCGTAACCCACCTGTAATTCTTGTCACTCCCAAACTTATCCGACCCCTTGGTCTCCGATTTCCACGTGCACTTCCGATCACCGCCACTACAGCTCGCGGTGCAAACAAGCCGATCAAGTTGCGACTCCAGCTCGGCCACTCGGTCGCTCAAGCTCTCTAAGCAAAACTCACTTCCAAGCAGCCTCTCGACTCGCTGAACTCGCTTGCAGACAAACGACGGCATTCGATGAGCAGTCACCAGATCGGAGACGGCATCGAAGGCTACAAATTGGCTCGAAAGTTGGCACGGATTGAAGAGGTCGAAGGCGAACTGAACATCTAGATCTTCCTTGAGGAATGAGGGGAAAGGTTTAGTTCTGGCAGTGAAAATGGAGGTCTCTTTGACGGAGGAGGATGGGGTGTAACAGGAAGGGTCTTCTAGGAGCTCGAACCGCGTGCATCGGCTCATGATCGGTTGAATTGAACCGCTCGTGACTCGGTGAGTCGGAAAATAGAAGGAGATGGTAGGGTTTTGCTCTTGCAAGTTGTCAATGGCGATCAGTGATGGTTAAAGCGCCGCAAAGGAGACGAAAATGGCGGGATAAGACAAAGGGATGACGATGACGGTAAAGGACATATGGGGAATATAACCGCAAAATTGAGGGCAAAATTGGACTTTCATGCGTCAGGATTGCATATTCGGAACTGTTGGCGTGGTTTAATGAGAGCGATGGCAGATTGGATTAAACTGGGGACAATGAGAACAAGATCAGAATGTCTTCCTGCTGATTGGATAAGTTTAAATTATTGGAAAAATTATAATAAAGTCCCAACATCTAAAAGAATTAAATATAAAAAAACTTTTAAAATTATCAAATTAATCTGAAATTCCAAATAACTTCATTATAAGAGATTTTATTTATTTAATTATCAAATTGTATTTATCTTTTTTTTTGAAGTATGTATTGACAACTAAAAAAGTTATCGTTCGTTTGGGACTTTAGATTAATTTGATAATTTCAATGAATTTTTTTTATATTTAATTCTCTTAGGTGGGACCTTATTATAATTTTTCCTAAATTATCACTCCCTTCAATCCAAAACTAAATTTTCTCTTTTCCTTCATTTTTGTTTGGAAGTGTTCAATAACATGATGGAGCAGCACATTAAGGCTTGGTTAGAATTGCTTATAAGTATTTTTTCAATCATAACCTATAAAATACAAGATAAGTATGTAAGAAGAATTTTATGATTTCCCTTAAGGTTCAAGATTTGAACCTTGGAAGGAAGTGCGGAGGAATTCACAGACCCATGAGAAAATCTCAAGCTGTCAATTCCACAGTGCATAAAGTTTGCCTGTAACAAGGGAATATTGGAAATTACCTGCATCATGGAATTGTTGCCATTTGATGTAAGCGTCACTCATGCCAGTGAATTGTAGAGAAGAAAGCCGAGAGACCCCAATTGAAGTCATCAACAAATAAGCATTGATCACGTGTGCCATTAGCAAGAAATAATTGATCACCTGAGTTGAAATCAAGAATCTGCAACTTTGTGAGGTTTCCTAGATGATGAGGTACACTCACAATAAAGTAACAGTTGGACAGATTGAGGTACTGCAATTGTTTCATGGACCCAAGTAACAATGGGATTGGACCAGATTGAAAATAAATGAAGCTTAAATCCAATTGGTTCAAACGTTTCAAGTCTTCCAAAGATGAGCTCATTGCTTTACTTGACAATCAGTAGTTATTGATGAATGAATCATTGGCAAATTCCTCAGATTTGAGACTGCAGTTTGACAGATTTCTGAGCTTATCCATTGAACAGCTTTTGGGGCTGAGATTAAGCTTGACCGAGTGTCCCGTGATGCCATTACATTTGACTCCTTTCCATCTGCAGCAATGTTTGCCCTCCCAAGACAGGACATGCCTCGAGCAATTCTCAAAGCTGTTGAACTTCAAAAGAGCTTGATTACTACAGTCAGATTCCTACAGAGACAGAGTTGTGAAGCTTCAAAAAATAGTACAAAGAAAATTAAATGCACCTCACTTGGAGATCGTCTCATGCTCGCTAAAGGCAAGTTATGGGTGAGAAGGCAATCAGCTGGTTGGTATTTATAGGTGACTAAAAGAACAAGGAAGATTCACATATTCATATTTGCAATATAGGAGACAAAGTGAATTAATGGTTTAGACTCATTTCCACCCGTATATTGCATGCCTGTCATACAGAAGACCCAGTCAGTAAAGCTATCTTTTGTAACATGGTTCGAAAACTCGCCCATAAGATTGAAGAAAAGAGGAAGACACACAGATTAGATATTGCAATGCATTTTTGTTTTGTCGACCATGAAGAATTCTCAGGAGAAAAGATCACCTGTAAACCCAGTCAACACTGCTTTATGTAATGACTAACAGACTCAACTCCACCAGCTTAATTAATTACTGCTGACAAGTGCTCACTTGTTGAAATTAGTAAGAGAGGGGGGGAAAAAAATGAAAGGTGGTTGGAAATTGATAAATGAGTCTAAACGTGCTTGATCTTCTATGATTTGGACTTTATTGACCTTTGGGACATAGGTATTCTATGAAGCCACTGAACAAACTTCCTTTTTTAAAAAAAAAAAAATTAAAAAGACAAACACTGTTTGAGGTCACAAAACAAGATTGAACCTGCAATCTCCACTTACAAAGTGAGATTGAACCTGTGACCTCTATGTTCAAGAGGAGCTTATATGCCACTAACCTACAAGACTATTAGTACTGAACAAATTTTAGTTGAAATTTTAATGAGAATCAAATTATGTATTATAATACCAGCAAATCTAGGTGGTGGTGATCAACCCACACACTCCATTCACATACTAAGACCCCTTGTATGGAACCCCAGTTTCACCAGTCAACTAATGCTAACTGATGCAGTTTTTTCTTCTTTTTTTTTGCGTGTGCGTTGGGGGGATGTTAGTATTTAAAAAATCGGTTTGATATTAAAAAACTACTTCATAAAAATTGTGTATAATGATGCAAAATTTTTCCGAGGACATGAAATTAAGCCATACATTTGATGTAGGAATCCTAAACATTTTAATAAACATATATAAAATCCCTAATTTTAATGCATCTTTACATGTTATTGCATATTGATAATTTAAAAATTAAGATGGATATTCAACTTTTACAAAGTTAATTTATGCAATAATGATTTAGTTCCAACTCCAAACATATACTTAAGTAATTAATTATTGATACTTCTCATATAGAAGACTAAGTCAATTATGCAAAATTGTGCGGTTTCAAAGATATACCCATAACAATTAAGGAGAGTTTGATAAATGGGATACCTGTATCATGGTCAACTAACATTTGAATATTTTCTGAAAGAAGTATTTACGTTTAGTATTTGACCATACTTTAAATACAATTACTTTTAATATAAGGATACCTTTATACAGGAAAAAAAATTCAAATACCCATTTCTTTTTGGAAGAATGATAAAAAAAATGGAAATTACTAAATCACATATCATGTTTGGTAACAACATTTTATTTGGTGTTGACAATACTAAATTAGTAAATGACAATAAATTTTTGTTAACATTATTTATTTGGCATTTACAAGTTTCCAACTTTTTTTTTTGTTATTTTCCTTTCATTAACACTTCTGAGACAAAAATGATTAAACAGGAAAGCATGGTCATGGCTGTGTAGAATTATACGTGACACAAGGTTTGATGTTATAGACTACTGTTTTGCCGCCGTTGGAAAAAGTGATACTGCTCTTTTTTAACACTTTCATGGCAACACTAAGCCAAAAAATTTCTTGAATAGCTACAACTTCTTTGTGACAACTTTCAGGACAAAAATGACTCTTGATTTTTTTTTTTTGACACCAATCGTGACTGTGAGGTTGCTAGAGAAGTTTGGCTCCGTTTTGTCTCTCCTAACCATAGATTGTCTTTTTTCAATTCAAACTTGCAGGTCTGGCTGAAGAGGAATATGTCAACTAGAATGGGTACAGCAGCTGTGTCAAGATGGCCGTGGCCGAAGGTGTTCAGCGTAATCTGTTGGAACCTATGGAAAAACCGATGCAGAGGAGCACTTGGAACAGGAAGACTCCAGTCAAAGGCGGTATTTCATACTTGCATGCACTGTTTAATGGAAGATACAAGCAATGGGAGACTACATCACCAAATTTTTTCTTACAATGCTGGAGAAGAATCACAATGGCAACCACCACCAGAGGACTATTTGAGGCTGGATGTAGATGGCTCCTCATCATTGCAACATCATGCGACTTGTGGAGGAGTAGTTAGAGATCATCAAGGAAATTGGATACTTGGCTTTCAGAAGAAACTGGGCTATCAACCCTCAACGAGTGCAGAAGTCCAGGCAATATTACAGGGACTATCAATTTGCAAGCAGGAAGGCTTCCAGAAAATTCGAGTCTACACAGACTCTGTTGAAGCATACCAATTGATAACCAGGGACAGTGGAGCATCTCATCCACTACATGCTGAAATAGGAAAGATTAGGGACCTTATTTATGCTGAATGGGATATTGAGATCAGCAGGGTGCCACGGCATGCACCACGTTGTGCGGATTACTTAGCAAGGGAAGCACACAACAATGTGGAAGATATACGAACGATGAGGGAGGCCCCCCCAGGATGCCGAGCACAGCTGGAGCTAGATAGAATGACAGGGGCGTCGATATAGGCGACCTCCTTCTCCAACTCTTTTTCAAGTTTTACTTGCCTTTTGATTCCAAAAAAAACAAAAAAAAAGTTTTTCATAATAATATTAGCGTATTTGTGCTATCCGGATCTTAAACATATGAAACAACTATTTCTTTTAATCCTAAATATAGGAGTTGGATAAAGGATTTATTTTGGTAGTTATAACACCTCAATTCACTATGTTTTCTAAAATTATAATTATTTTTTCAGAATATTCTTGTTGATTATACGTTTTAAGAGGGTTTTCATCAATGGTGGTTCTAATATATATGATTAATTAAAAAGGGGTGTTTTAGGGATTTCAACACACATATGTTACAAATAGTTAACTTAGCTAGTTTTTTTAATATCTGCAAATTAGTTATCTGGCTATTATATTAAACACTGGGAGTAATAATTTTTAACACTTAAGAAAATTAATTAAATTAGGTATTTATAAAAAAATGTGTATTAGTTTTTCTAAATTATCACCTTTAATTAAATTATTTGTATTGAAAAAATGTTATTTTCGTTGAAAATCTCCTTAATATATGTGATTAATAGGGAGGGTTTAGAAAAAAATTATAAATTTAGAATACAAAATTAATGTCTTAGATTTAGGATTAAAATAACTCCTTTTAGTTAAGACCGGATAAAATTTTGTTAGCTAGCGTGTGTATTTACCATTTAGACGAAAACAATGGGCGATGGATGATATTCAAAAAAATATAAATAAAATATTTCCTTTGATTTTAAAAGTCATCAATACATAATAGAAAATCTGACAACTCTTGCTATTTACAAAAAATTAAATTCCCTTAAAGGGTTGAAGCTAAATGAAT